GCCCCAGCGCGCGGAGCCCGGCGGCGCGCGCACCTCGAAGTCCCGGGCGCCCTGGACCGGGCGGCAGAGGTCGGGGTCGCTGCAGGGGCAGGCGGCAGCGGCCAAAGGCAGCGCCACGAGGGGCAGTAGCAGCGGGAGGGCGCCCCGCAGCAGCCTCATGCCTTCGGCGCCCGTTCGGCCGTACGACGGGAAGGGACAAGGGACAAACCGCCCCCCGAGCACTCGCGGGACACAAACGCGCAGACAACACGTGTTTGTCAAACACAGCAATTTATTGGGCGGCCAGAGCGAAGCTGGTCCGCGGCGCGTGATTGGTGGTTCCGCGCGGGGCAGGGTCAGGTCGGACAGCGCAGCCGGGCGCATGCGCAGGCTTCGTGAGTGTCCACGCGCTGTTGCAGGTCCTCAGGCGCGTTTTGCAGCTCGGCGGAGTTGGTGTGAGAGTCTGTGAAGAACATGGGGGGTGAGCGGGGACGCTCCTACTTCCCGCCCTGGCTTTATTTTGCTTCAGTGGCGCCTGGGAGAGTAGATAGGGTTGCCAACCGCCCAGGATTGCCCTAGAGTTCCCAGGAATTAGATATAAATCCCCAGGAGACTGCAGAGAGTCGCCCCGCAGGCACACGATAGGGCGTTCATTCAGTTAAATGTTAAATCCAGTTTATTCAGCAGTCCAGTGGGTTTTTTAAATGTAGTAGTAATGTGCATTTGCCTCTCTGGCATAAAGTCTACTCAATACAGTAGATCAGTCATTAATGTTGTGTCACGTGATGAAACCTCCCAGAATAGATTCAGATAGAGTTGGCAACCCTAAGAGTGAGACGTGCTGGGTGCAGGCAGCAGTGCGGCTCCTGGCTGCAACTCTGCGTTTCTGCAAGCATCTGAGTTACAGGTTATACTGGACAAGACATGAGGTCCTGCTGGTCCCAGGGCAAGGGGAATCCAGCATGCCACAGTAACAGCCAGCGCTGCTCTTCTCACAGTACCAGTGGGTGGGGGAGGCAGCAGAGGGAAGCTCTTCTTGGGGTTCCCCAGCTGGTGCTGGACCCTCCCCCACAGACTGAATGCCTACTGCTCCCTTTTTCCCCTGCCAGTCAGAAAACAGCCACAGAGTGGGAGCTTCCCAGACAAATTACAAAAGATGCTACATTTTGAAATGTCTTTATCTGATACCTCATTCAATGAGGGGTCATATTTTTATCAGATCAGCCACTTTTTAAGCTGTCTGCAGCCTGCAATTGTGTTTGGTCCCAGCTTTAAACTTCTTTCTGGTGCTAGATCAGGCAAAAATTGTCACTTCTGTTTTTTAAAGGGAGACAATAGTGCATTTGTAGGTGCTGATGCACCTCACCCCATCTCTCCCCTTTCTAGATCTGCCTGTGTCTCTGCCCCTTACCCCCTCCCCCCCCCCAAAGTTTCTTGCCAAACTGTCTACATCTGGAACAGCCATGTGGCAGGAGGGGGCTGCTCTCCTTCCTACAGCTGTGGAGCTGGGGGGTGCTAACTCCTGGGAGTCTTAACAGTGCGAGCTGGACATGCTGGCTGAGCAAACAGGCTGGAGCCTGCTGACCAGATATGGCTTATGTAGACTTACCAGCTAGCGCACAACGGAAGCCAACAGAGATGGGAACAGTTTTGGTGGCTGAGCAACCTTTTACGCAGCGTAAAACTGGCTCGACCGAACGGCATTCTGAGATCTGTTTTTCAAAACCAACTGGCTTCTCAATTCTGACAGTCATGCGTTGCAGTTTACAGGCTACAAGACAATTGTTTTAAAGCCATTTTAGAAAGCATACATGTTTCTCCTTAGACTAACACAGCTACAACCAAGAACTACTTAGTTGGTCTAATAAAAGATCACATCTACCCAAAGAACTTTCCCATCCTATGTCCCTAGACCAACATGGCTACAACCAACAACCCTGTAAGTTTCTCCAGCTTTGGTTGATTATGTTGATTGATTCAATTAAATCAAATTGAAGGAAGTCAATGAATACACCAAGTCTATTTCAACTGAAGCTGGTGGCAGTTTTGCTATTGATTTAAATGGGAAGAGAGTCAGACATATTGAACCAGTTGCTTCTGAAGCCTACAAGTACCTAAACTCTGTAGACATCTCTGGCTTTGACATCAAGACTTCTCTTCTGCACATGCTGAGTATCAACTCAAATCAAAGTCTTCTGTAAGCCGTAAAGGAAGTAGCTACTTTTCATGAGTACTTACTAGCTCTTCCCTGACATACATTGCACCATGGCTTTCATGTTTATAACATGACCTGAGGCACACATGCATTACGTAATAAAAACTAAGTCGGTGTAACGGTGAAACAAACAATGAGCTCACAATCTCAGAAAAAATAATTTACTTTGCCTGTGGACATAACCACACTGATAGTGGAAAAGCAAGTCCAGAAGCAAATTGGCAACTACTCCACTGTCCACCTCTGCTATTTCTATTCACTACAACACATCTATCTATATAAACATGACAACTATGCTAAAAGCTAATCAATTGATATGTATTAGAATCTTAATACCTCCAGTACAAGGGTCTTCTGAGAGAACCCAGGACTGAGCAAAGCTCACTGCATCTTTTGCTACATATCCACTAGGCATCTGATATTCCTGTTTCCTTTCACCATCATATTTTCCACAAATGCCACATGTTTTTCCTGCCATCCAGAAAGCAACCTGAATCTTCAGGGGGAAAAAAAAACAAAAGGTTCATTGAAATGCTTATTTTATAAACATTAAAATATTGACAAAATGGGGTGTGGGGGGGAATACCTCAAGCGTATGTCCGTCAAAATAAAGTCTATCTATGCCGTGCTCTGTGGCTTTTATTAAATACCCATCCTTCTCACTGGTGATCAGCATGTACGCTTCTGCAACACAAAAGCAAAACGACTTTTCTCTGAAACAGACTTTCGGTACCAGTACCCACTGATTTTAACACACACAGTTTCACCAGGACTTAGCCAGAAAGAGTCTGCTCTACTGGCTGAAAAGTTTGATGAAATATTATTCATTGAGGAGGGGGTAGAATGAGCAATTGGTACACCACATCCACAGCACTGGCTTGTGATTTACCAAGGCACTGTAGCTGCTGTACATCTGTGCAAGTATATGCAAAGCCAGAAACCCATTTTTCGTTCATCCTTATTGCTGTCTTCCTATGCGAAGCCAGAGCAAAAAATAGCATATGTGATGTGCAAATGAAGCAATGTTTGCCCTGTATGTTGTCCCACCATTGTTCCTCTGCATATCCCCAATTATGGACTGAACTAGTGCAAGCAGCTTTGCCATGACTCATGCCAGTTGAGCAAACGTTACTTTGATTGAAGCCTTCAGGACCAAATTCCTAAATTCCTGTTCCCTAAATCCTGTCCATGAGTCTATAGTAATACACTTGTTTTTTTAAGCAGAATATTGATACTACTACTTAACCCAGCTGGCAAAGAGGATGCAATACAATGTATATATCATGTCACCTACCAGAATTAGATGTGTATGGAACATAATCTTTTGGGACTTGAACACCATTTATCTTCAGCCAGACATGTCCATTTGAAGGATACATATCAATCTCACTTTAAAAAGAAGAAAAATGAATTTAATCGAAGATATGGTTTTTTGTGTGTTACTCAGTTCACACAACATGCAATTCTTGTGGCTTTCATTGTGTCATGTTCCAAGATCCTTCAATCTCTCACTGAAGCAAAACACCCCAACCAGATTCTATGTAAAAGTACAACTTCAAAATACAAATGATCAGTAATAACTTCAGGTTTGGTCACCTCTTCAAACATTAAACAAAAAAATGTCACCACTTCTGAAATGGACTAGCCTATCTGACTTCTAGTAGGTCAGAATCCTCCCCTACCAAGTTAAAGGCCTGTCTTTCAGGTAAGGGAAGGACCATAAGACACAAAAAGGAAATAATTTCTTATGACAAAAAATAATACTGAAAAGAGGCCTGGGAGCATGTTTAAGGGTGTAAAACAAGGTACTAGGAGGAAAGATTGAGCAGAGAACCCCAGACAGTGCCCACTGCTTCATAAAAATATCAGTAGCCAGAGGAGCTTTGTCCAAATACATGAAATGACCAGGGAATGGAAAAAGAACCCAAACTGCTATACCAGTGACCTTAGAAGGCACATCCTTTTACTTTGTCACCAGACAGGTATGGAATATGCTACCCCATCAATATACTGCAGCTGGGGAAACCCATCAGTGATTTCAAGAATGGTGATGAAAATTTTCACATCAAAATTTCTTTATTCCCCTTAAAGAGTGTTTCCTATATTTCTTGGTCTAGGCAATTGTCAAATACAAGATCACACAGTAATATCACGCTTTTGTATCAGGTATTCTGCAAAGTTACTGGGTAATATGAGATACAGTGTATCCCAAACTGACTTGGTAAAACCTGGGCCATTAGGCTTGGAGTAAGGGAACTGTCCTTTCTAAAATGAAAGCATAACTCAGTTTCCATCTACATTCACGTCTCATCGTTTCTGCTGAGATTGTCATGTTGTACTAATTACTAGAGAGGCCAGCTAAATGATTACAATAGTCTCTGCTGGCTTTATAATCAAATCACTAAGAATTGGGCTCAAACAGTTAACATCCACTGCTTCATGAGCAGCTCCTCAACAATGGAGATTCCTGATTGTTATGGACTTCCGTTGGATTGAAAGGACTGATCAAGAGATAAGAAACCTAAGAAAAAGATCCTAATAAGAAATAGGAGTTTTTCAATTGACTTTGGGAGAGTTCTGTTCCATTACAAATGTCCTTTAATCATCTAATCCCCAGATTTACAGAGGATTACTATGTAATTACCTTGTTATCTAAGGCCCCTGCCAGATGTGCAGGTAAAGATGTGATAGGATAGGATGCGTGATCCACACAATTGTGCTTCTTGCCATGCCACACACGCATGGCAGGAAATGCAACTATGTGAATCACACAGCAGATCTCATTGTGCCTTATTGTTCATCATGAGGGGTCTCCCTGTACTGGCAACTATCAGGCTTTTGCAGCTAGGAGCCCCCTCAGGTGATAGGGCTCCGAGGTCTGAGGGCATACCATGTGCTCCCATGGCTTAGAGTTTCATCAGCTGAGCTGTCCCCCTGGCTGTAGCAGTGTACTGCTGCAGCCTGAAACCCACAACTGATGGGACTCCCAGCCTTGGGGGTGCACC